TATACCTAACTTAAATCTAACTGTCATAAATATTTAAAAAAATTTTTTTTCTATATCTAAAAAAAATTGCTTAACTATTGAAATATTTATAAAGATTTAAAACACCTAAGTCCCTATTCAACCCTAGTTTATGTGTATTTAATTTTAAAATCCAATATGTTTCTTTTTTTCTGCGTGTGAATGTGGAAGTAAAATCGGAATCTATTAATAAACATTTGCAGTTTTCTAATGTGTGTCCTGATTGATTGTAGTGTTTAGCTATGGGGGAATAAGGGTTGTTTTGACGTATTGTTTGTTTATGGTTATTAAAACGAAATCTAAAATTGTTTCCAGACTCACCAATATATCCACTATTAGGACATAAGTTGCAGAATAAATAATAGATTACGTTATGGGTATCGCAGGTGAGGTTAGGTGGGTGTATTCTGATATTGGTGTTGGGTACGGAAAATGTATTAGCTATTATTTCTGATGAAAAATCGAGGACAATTTGAAATATCAAATATATATATAAATAAATAAATACTTTCATAAAATAAAACATTATAATTTTCAATTTGAAACTTTTTATATATATATATATATATATATATATATATATATATATATATATAGAATTAGTGAGCCAGACAAACCTACCTAGGTTTGTCTGGCTCATAAAATCTCCTACACATAAAAATCAAATCACCCAGCCCATATTATAAGGCATATTTCTAAAAATATTGGGTATAGACTTTCTACTAATTCCTCTAATAGGGACATTTTTGAGGCCAACAAAATAAGTTATGAGCAAGCCCTAATTAAGAGTGGACATAAAAATAAATTAGAATATATAGACAACCACAATATTACTCGGAATAAACATAATAGGCAAAGAAAAATTTTGTGGTTTAATCCTCCTTTCAATTTAGCGGTAAAAACTAATATTGGTAAGATATTTTTTAATTTGCTGGAACAACATTTCCCAAAAAAAAAACTGAGTTACATAAAATATTTAACAAAAACAATGTAAAACTTAGTTATTGTTGTATGCCGAACGTAGGGACTATTATAAATGGATTGAATAAGAAAAAAACTAGGAATGATCCACGTAGTAATCCTCCGACTTGTAATTGTAGAAACAAAAACATCTGTCCATTACAGGGAAAATGCCTGCAGGAATGCGTGGTGTATCAAGTGAAAATTTACAAAAATACTGAGGATACTAATCCTAAAACATACATAGGTGCTACTCAGGATAAATTTTAAAAAAGATATTATAAGAATGCAAAAATTAAACATAGTACCACGCTATCTACCTACGTATGGAAAACCAAACAAGATAATATAGACCCCATCCTTAAATGGGAAATAGTAAAAAAATGCCCAAAATATAAAGCAGGCCATAAATTTTGCAAATTATGTGCTGAGGAGAAATTAGCCATAGCTTTATATGATCAACCCAACCAACTATTAAACTCTAAAACTGAAATTCTCAATGTATGTAGACATAAAAAATCTTGGCTACTAAATTAGACGTTTTCCCGTTATTGACTTTCCACTGAGGTTTTTTTTTTTTTTTTTGTTGAATAAATATTTCCCCCCCACTTAGGTTGTTTTTGTTTTTTTGTCACGTGATTTTAGCTATCACCTATAAATATGTGTGTTTCTCTTTGCCTCGTTAGCCAAACTTTCCCTGATGATCCGTTTAGGTGAAACCTAGGTAGGTTTGTCTGGCTCACTAGGTGTATCTAGGTCTGCTCTACGGTTGTATTGAGCTCTTTTGTTAGTTAGTTGTTACTCGTATCGGGGTTTTTTCTTTGGGCTTCAGACCTGCATCTGTCCGATTTTTTTGTCGGCAGAAGTCCATGTTTGTAGCTCTTTCTTTTTTTAAAACCTTTTTTTTCCTCGAGATTGATTTGATTAGCAAATCAAAAATTCGAGGGTATTTCGAAACGAGTCTAGTTATCTATATATATATATATATATATATATATATATATATATATATATACAAGTATAGGATTGGTATAGACGGAATAAATTCCAATAACAAACAAAAACTATTCTTAAAAGAGTGCTCAATACAGAGTAGAGCAAATACAATTATTTATTCGAAAATAATAACAAATATGTTATAAAATCACTATAATAATGGCTATTTTTGTAGTGATTTTATAACATATTTATGTTATCATTTTCGATTAAATAATTATATATATATATATATATATATATATATATATATATATACAAACACTATATATATATATATATAGTTATAAATCTACCATTTCACTATTAACGCTCTATATTTAATATAGTATTATCTAGGTGAAAAAAATAATTAAAAAAAATAAAAATCAACCAATAAGAACGTCCCATTTAGCATAAAACTAATTACATAATCAAACTTAGTATAAAGAAAATGACAAAAACGACAGTTAATAGTTGAAACCTCCTGACGAATGGATTGAACAATTGCCAAAAAGTTAATCAACGAAATTCTAGAGTCGTTTTA